CTGCTTCGAAGCTTCGGTCACCAGATGATGTGTTTTTTTGTTTTCATTCAGAAGCTCGCTTGACAGTGCTCTGATAGTATTTCTACACATGCCAGTTCCATACAAATCGAAAAACGGGACACTTTCGCATGAAAGAAACATTCGTAGTGTGATGGATAATAGCAATTTGTATAGTTTAGTGACATTTACGCAAAAATCACATCATCAAAATAACATCTTGGTTATTTTTCGATAAATAACCACAGCAATTTTGATTATGAATTTGTTTTATAAAATTCTAAGCTGTTGAACTACAAAAATATAGATTTTAGCAAAAATGTGATGCTTAAAGAATGAAAAATACCCTACGGTACCTTTAAAATTGTGTACATCTCTCGATGTCCTTGATAGAGTATACGCTATTTTTATTTTATGTTTCAAACGCCAAAATGTTTCAAATAAAATAAATTTTTTTTTCACTTCCACATATTATTGTAACCTGTACTTTTTAAATTTTTTTAGAGGAGAGGCTTTACTGTTGCTCATTTTAAACTCATCATTTTTTTTTATATAAAAAAATAATCATTTGTGCTTACAAGTTTTAGTTAGTTATTATTATTTATTATATTATCAAAGAATTATTAACTATGTAAACTGATAAAAGGTATTGAGTGCCTTCAAATATATTTACTAGAAGATTTGAATTTGATGTGAATGTATCCTAAACGTGTTTTAGTCAAAAGTTGAAACTTGAGCTAATGTAAATATAAAATTATGCATGTTAAAATATTTGTAATTAGCACATATCAAGTTAATTTTTATTAAATAGAATAACATGCACGGCTCTGCCTAAAGGGAGGATGCCATCGTGGAGGAATTTTGAAGAAAACTTACTTTGATGGGTATTAAAATAAAATGACATAATTTTCATTCAAATTATATTTATACACATTTCTTATTTAACTTCGGGTATTCTAAATTATTGTAAATTACTTTACTCGAAAAATATAGTGAATGCACAGAATTAAAGATTTGCACATGCCCTGAAATGAAAAATAGGAATATGTATGGGTATTATGCATGTACTTGCAAAAGCATGTATCTGCCTTTAACAAAAACGTAAATATTTGTTAATTAATATAATAAATTAATATAAGTATTTGAATATAAACATGAAAGTTACTGTGAGAAATCTAATTACTGTAAAGCTCTTATTTCGCGAAAATGCGAAAATTACGGTGCTGGGAATTTTATAGAACAGAACCGAAAGTTGAAATTTCAAAAGTACCTAAGAAAAGTTAGAAAGTTGAAAAATTCCAAAGTACATCTTTTGCATAAATCATTTTACGAAACTTCTTTCGTCCGAAAAGTTCCTTCCTTCACCGCTCCCGTCTCCGTCTAAAGCGAGTACGCTTTTTTTTTCAGATGATTTATTAGGGTATTCTCTGACTTCATTTCTGAGGAAAAAGAACTTTGGACTTACGAATATCACGACTAAAACGATCACGCTTCTTTATTTGTGGCGTATTTAACGGTATTGAAGCCAACATGAGTAATTGATGCTCAAGATCTATAAATATTTCTAACGAATGAGCTGCCTTTATTACTTTTAATGTTTTCTATTCGAGAAATATATTGTATATTATTCAAAGATGGAAAAAAAGTATTCGCGAGGCTTAATTTCGCGATTACGACGGGGCTCGCGAAAATCGTTAAAATAAACCTCGCGAATACCTTTTTTTCCATCTTTTGAATAATGTTTTAATTTTAATGTTATAAATATATCAAATATATAATAAACTTGGCATTGAATTGTAAACGTAAATGAAATCCTGTTGACAAATACGTATAATCTCTTTAAGCAAGAATTTCGTACTGGAAAGTAATCTGTAAAAGGTATGTAAGCATTCTATGGAGGTACTTAGTAATAAAGATAGTTTTGGAATTGTACTGTTTGAACTTGAGTGTAAAAAAAAAAAAATAATATAATTAATATTATTCCCCTACATTATATAACTCAGTTACAAGTTTAAATAATTTTAAAAATCCTTAATTTATTCCTTCAGAAATATCAGAAAATTAGTTCCTTTAAATTTTCGCTATAAATAAAAGTGCTCAATTTAAATGGACCGATTGAGCATAATTTTAATTGACTTTCATTTTTGATTTAAAAGATGCTTCAGAAGCTAAAACTCATGTCCTATTTGAAAAGTATTTTAGGACGAAACTCTAATAAAAAGAATAATGCATAATTCATTTATAATACAATAAACTTTGATCTTAACTTTTGTAATCCTTAACAGAATAAAATCGAATGACCTTATTTTTTTTTTTCTATATAATAACGAAACTTCGAAACATTTCATTCAAATTAACCATTCTGAACAAACTGTTCTTGAAATATAGCATTTATTCCGTTCAGAATGAATGTTGTTTAAAAATGTATTTTTTCGTATACTTAGGACTCTGAGGTAACGTAGAAAAAGAAAATATATACTTTATATTATTACGACGTAATTACAAAATATTTACATCCGATCGTGTCAAAACCCATTGAACTTAATGGTAAATTACCCAATGTTTTGGTGTTTTGGTCACCACGTAGGGATCGCCAGTGCTTCAGAGCAGGGTATGGGGGAAACCGGTTAGAGCCACTCTATCTTACTTTCCTACCTCCATTGTATTTCACCTTGGGGCTTCTCAGTCAATATAATGGGGGGAGGGGTGTCAAGCAAATAGCTTTTGTAGGATTCATTAAATTAAATTTAAAAACCAATCAGAAGATTTCATAGTTTATTTTTATTGATTCGAATATTAGACTGCATCACACAGCAGTCTTGTATTTTTTTGGAAAATGTTTTACTAAAGTCATTAAAGACGGGCCTACATATCAGATGCCGCCCAACCGGAATAGTGGTTAGCGATGCTGGATGCGGTACCGAAGGGCGCGGGTTCAAATTCCGGAGAAAGCATGGATGCATGTAAATGTATAGTGTCCGTGCGGCGTGGGAGCACTCTAAATATACGGCGAGCCGAAAGTCCTCTCGAGAGGTTGGTGGTAGAGGAAGAGAGAGTAGGAGACGCTCAGACCCGTCCCCCCACTGTGCTCTTCATCAAAATTGGGGGGGGGGGCGGAACTGAGTAAAATCATACTATTACCGGTATGGTGCTCAAGCCTCTTGCCAATGACAGGCGCATTCTTGCACTCCTTGCCACGATAAATTTCGTGGGCTTGTTCTGATATTAACTGTAAGAAAAGTGAGTTTAAACAACAACACATGTAAGACGCTCTCAAATCTGTGAACTTGTTATGTGCCACTGGGTGTAAATAAAGCTAACGAAATAGTCTGACCATTAAATTAAAACTAAACAAATATATGAGTTCTTTTAACATAAAATTCTTAAAGAATAAGTTATCTCTGTGTAATATTTTTTATATATTCATCTGTGAATGTGGAACGGATTTTTCAGGAGGGAATTTTTTTTTTTTTTTCTCCGTTTCAGAAAGGAATTTTTAAGGAAAAAATGATGTTGTATGTTTCAAGTTTTTACACAGAGAACAGGATTAAGAATTTCTTCAGAGTTGTTAGTAGACCCTTAGTGTCTTAAAAAAGGAATCAAATAACACATGCTTTCAAACTACGACATTTTTGGTTACGTAGCATCTTTTAGTGAAAACTTGCTGAAAATTAAAATTTTTATGCGAAATTTTTTAAGATAACGTTTGACTTAGAAAATCACTCCTGCAAGTAATAAAAATCATTTATAATTAAAATTGGTTCTATAATCTTCTCCTCACTCTTCCCTGTGTAAAATAAATTTAGTAGATGACGATTCAAGATTCGTATGAAAATGCAATTTCTTTATGCACAAAATTTCGAATTTTAACATTTCTGCTAAGGAAAATCTGATATCTATGCATCTGTGTTAATGTTTTATTAAATCGGAAAAGATATATTTTGAGCAGCTGCATATTTCCATAGCGTTTCGTAAAATTTTTCCGGTAATTTTGAATTTTTTCGTTTGACTAATTTTTTGTTATTTTCATTCGCCTTAGCCTTTTAAATATTGTCCAAAAATATTTCTCAAAATCTAATTCATCATTCGAAAAGGATAATAGAGACTCAGTTGCAATGTCTGCAGTTTGACTGTCCTGCTTCGAATTCTCCAATTGTTCTAAGAATAATTTCATTCTTAATGAAAGTCCATAGATGGCTTTTTTTGCCTTTTTAATTTGTTCGTCATCCAAAGAAAATTCGGTGTTTCGGATCTACATGTATTGAACCCAGCAAGATCTCATTGTCTAGCAAACTAGTTTCTCTTTTTTTCATTGAAGAAATTATTCTGTAATAAACCCTCCATTTCAGAAAAACAAACATCACAGTCTTCCATTCTCATCTCCTGTCAATTATTAAGATTGCAGCATTTTTGAGGCTATATATTGTTCCTTTTTTTTTTTCCGACACCAGCTCCAAATAAAGTAAGGTTAGCACTAGGTGAATAAGTGCATTAATTCATGAAATAGTTGTCATGTCATCTGTACTGCTATTATATATAAATCTTTAAATTAGGCATATACCATTCCTAGGCAATTTTACTTTTCCTTTATTTTTTTGTTCGAATTTATTTATTTCAATATTTCTTTTAATGTGACAGCAAGAAACGAACGCCTTAGTAGAATACAATTACTTTATTATCGCAAAAACTGTTTAAATTAGGAATTGTGAAAGCCACTGAGATCTGCTCTTCAGTGCGAACTTCTTTTTAGATTGAATATTTGTTTCTCTTTCAGAGTTTAGGATATATTATTAAAATATTTTGATTCTCCAATTTTATTCTTAAACGAATGCATCCAATTTTATTCTTAAACGAATTTATGATTAAACTGATTTAAATGTTATCCAAGAACAATTAACTGAATACCGAACGAATTCAAACGGTATCACTTTGAAGGTATCACAAATTGACTAACAGATGGCGCTTTCGCGTTTTGGATGCTCGTGTTTTAACTGTTATTCGCTGAAATCCTAGTCGGATTTCGAATGTGTCTTTGACAGAGTAAACATCCTAGTTTTCATTTCTAACTCTAGTTCCATACATCATAGAAGGGAATAAAGATACGCATCAACATTATGGTTCTTATATATATTTTTGATTTGTCATACTTTTATTCTCGTAAAATAATATCCTCGTGAATCGTTAATTATCTTGAGTGTTCTTTTAGTGTCGAAAATCATTATTATATTATATGATAAATATTATTATATGATTATTATATTATACGATAAAGACTGATGTTCGATTATAATAGTACATTATATTAGTACTTTTGTTCAAAAATTTGTTTACTAAAAGTGTCAATAATGTTTTAGCTAATAAAATTCTAATGTATTTTAATTTTAAGCCGATATATTAATTTTTAGATTATTTTATAGTTGTTTGTTTCGCCTTCGTAATTAGTGCATATTCCTAATCAGTTTAAAAATTTATAAGCAAATAAAACGAAAACGAGTTTTCTTTAATTCTATTTCTTAAATTTTCTATCTATTAAAATTGATAAAAGTGGTAAGTAACTTCTGCAGTTGACTGAATTCTATATAGCAGAACTTAACATTTTGCGCTATACGAATTATTTTGCGCTATACGCTGATATTTTCAAGTTAAAATACTATATATTTCATGTCAAAATTATCTTTGATTAAAAATGTTTTTCACGTACTATGATTGAAGTTGGATATAAATAAGTCAGAAAATTTAATTCTTTTCTAACAGATTTATACGTTTAGGGTCACGTATGAAATTAAATGAATTTTACTTAATTCTCTACGTAATATTTTTTTTTTAATTTAGCGTGTTTTATTAAATAAAAGAAAACGACTGGTGTATATTCAGTATGCAAAAGAAGTGGATACCATGTAACAAAAATGGTAAAAATTAGCGATAGAATTAACGTTTAAATTAAAATTAACGATAAATTTTAAAATTAACGATAGAAAAAAGAACCAGAATAACTTCCATGTTTTATTTATCGCTCAGTTTTCTATTGTTATAACGTTATAAGTTTCCGAATTCGAAAGGGATATAATTTTACTGTTACTTAATTTTCTTTTTCTTTTTTGATTTGAGAGGTTCTATGTTTGTGACATTCTTTTCATTAGCGCTACATCCCAGCGTTCATAAAAAAGGTTATTTAGCTACATTTTATCCATTCTTTTCATATCTGATGACATCGTTTTCTCAAGTACTCTGCTTGGTCGTTCTCGGAACTCCACGTACTATCGAGACTCTCCACGCGATGCACTCGACGATACACAAGAGTATAGATCTTGACTCAGCACAGTCTAAGACAAAACTCGACGATGCACTAATTCGCGGTGCACTAAAAGACTCTCTCTATGCACTCGACAACCAACTCGGCGCTAGACTTCGAGACACTCGCTCAATGACTATCAGCTTGCTAGACGAAGCACACACACTAACTGACTGTGGACCAGTAGGGTTTATATAGCTTTCAGCTTGTGTTCGAGAACATTCTGGGCTAAACAGGTAAGAATTCGTTCCAGAAGGTTCTCCATCCGTCCATGGTATATCGCAAATTTTGTCGCCAAACGGGTGATTTCTCGCCAAATTTGGCAACTTTGCCCTCCTTTGCCATTTTATGGCAACCCTAAAGCTGCTTTGCGGGGAAGCCATCTTACCGCGCCTGTATATTTTGTAACAATACGGTGTAGAAAGAAGAGTTTCCAATTTTGAAAGATCATTTCACAGTCTTTCTGTAAGTGAAACATTAGGGTTATCTGCATCTTTTAAAAAAGTTCTTAATTCTAAATACCTCTTTATCATCAAATATGTACTTCCTTATCGCGTTGCTTGATCAATAACTGCTCATTTTCCTGCTCGCTTCCTAAGAATGGCATCAATTTTGGGAGTTCTTCCTGCTATTGCTCCTTAACTAAATTTACCTGTCAGATTTGTAACTAAATGAATCAGTTTAATCGCTAATGACATAATATGTCAATAAAATAGAAAATAATTATCTATTAATGTATTCAGTCCATAAATAAAAATAATAACTCAGCTTGTCATTCATTTTTTTTCAATTCATTTTAATTTCATTTCAAATTCAAACTGTCCAACAAAAGCTGGAGTCTGAGTCGACCTGTTTTTAGCGATTCCAGCTCCAAATTCTTTTACCTCAAAATCTGCCCGATTCCGACTCCACAGCCCTGCTTTTGGCTTTTGGGACTGCCTTTGATGCTGGGATCACGGCCATACCCATAGCCGTATCCCAACTACAATGTCAACTTGAGCATTTTTCAAGGATTATCATACTTTCTGATTCTAAAACTACTTTTCTAGCCCTTTCTTTCTTCTTTTTTTTTTTTTTTTTTTTTTTTTTTTTTTTAAATCACTAGTATCTTTTGATAATTTAAAAAGTCAGTAATTTCTAACCAACTTAGCTCAGGAGGGCAAAGAAATTGCCATGCAATGGATACCATCACGCTGTGGCCTTCATGGAAATGATAAGGCAGATTTGTTGGCAAAGAAAGGGGCCGATGTTCTCCAAATAACTGAAAACTAAGTCCCTTTCTATACTGCCAAATGAGTTGTAGAGACATTAGGTATTTTTTGAAACAGAAGACATGAAAATTAGGAATGCCCTCGCCAGGACTCGAACCACGGACCTCTCGAATACGCGCCGAGCGTGCTGACGACTACACCATGAAGGCATGCTAAGAAGGCGGGAGAAAAACTTACAGAGTAATCAGAAAGTATTACAGAGAAGTTTTTTGGAAAGACGCTACTGAACGAAACAGTCATAAAGTACGGATTAACAGAATTTTTGACATTCCTTTATAGCCCAGAAAGAAATCTCTTTCTATCTTTCGTCTTGTTACTGGCCATGATTGCCTTTTAAAACAGCTGCATCGAATGAAAATTATCCCAACCCCAATTTGTAAATTGTGCAACCTTCATAAGGAAATGGATGCCTCACATCTGAGTCGTTGTTCTGCTTAATGCGGGATCACTCTCGGAGAGATATTGGGAGACGAGACACATAATAAATAGATTTATAGATTATACGATGAACTCAGTTTTTAGTTTTACTGTTTTCTTTCATCTTTGCTTGTTCTGTCTACCGTTATCTTTGTAATCTGCCGTTAGAAATATATATATATATATATATATATGTCATAATAGAGCACAAAAATAAGAAAAAAGACGGACGGAGCAGTCGATCTGTGCTTAGATTCATATTGAAGAAGAATTTTCATTGCGTAGTATTTAAAGAACTTGACAGTCGAGCAGTTTTAATTCCATTTTTATTTCCAATTGATATTTGTGGCCACATCACTTGGCACTCTAGTCGTGCCTTTCCACAGAAGATTTACATTTTTGATATTGTTGGGATAGCAAGCAAGCCAGCGAAATTATATCTTAGCAGAGTAAAGAGCAAAGCTGAAGTGCGTAGTTATGAAAGATGGAAGCACGCGAAGAGAAAAAGTTTTTGGTTTACAAGGTCAGTTTTCAGTTCTTAATTATTATTATGTCATCGGAGTTGCGCCGATCATAGAGTGATCTAGAAATGACGCAATGCAAAGAAGTTATTACGATTTTTAGAATAAAGAGGAAGAATTAATGTTTTATAGTTTAATCTATAATTTTGATTCATAATTTTTATCTTACATATTCCCCCCTTCAAGAAGAAAAAGGTGTAGCGACAGAGAAGCCTTTTTAAAGAAAGAGCATTAAAGCACTAGCAAATAAAAATAATAATAAAAAACATAAATCATAAAATCGTTTGATCCTATAAAAGTATAACTTTATAAACATCAATTTTCTTTAAAATAAATTTTAAATTTTTAGAGTCCTATTGCAATTTTTCAAGCATTTCAGTCCAAAAGTCTTTTTGTTTGAGAGTTCACATAATCATAATTCTTCAGGGAATGTTCTTGTTATTACAGCAGTATCACAAAATAAAACTTTTACATAATCATTACTTATAATTAAATGTAACACACATAAATGTTTATGATACTAATTTTCCATATTGATAAATTATATTTTAATACCATAGAATAATAATAGGAAGTAACAGCTTTCAGAAATTATGGTTTCATCACAACCGTTATCATCTTTCATTTACAATTCCTGATTTTACCAAACTGGAAGCCTCGCAATACTTCTAAACAAACATATCCATCAATAGGGCTGTCCTCTTGAGCTAACCAGTGTGTTCTCTGCACTAGTGGCCCAGGGTGCCTAGGCAGTTACTTGAAAAGACCTCCGTTCCTTGCATTAAGGTAACTGGCCTTTGAGAACTGCATTAATACATTCCATAATAATATAATAATAATATAAAAAATTTACATGCATTCATAAAATGAGAGCTTCCAACATTATCTTGCATGAAGAGGGTAAAAAGAACAACTGTACAGAAGTAATTACAGGCCTCTGTTGAAGGAACCAGTACAACCCTCATCATACTATACTTAACACACAATAACCCATAAATTTTAACATGCATTTACCATAATTTCATATTACGTATCTGTAATAATTTCACTTTTTTACAACCAACTTCATTTTTAGAATAATTATAAAATTCGTATTCAAAATTCTCAACAAAATTTCAAAACATAAAAACTTATCTTAATATCCTTCCCTATGAATAATTTAAATAGCTTAAAATTAATTACTTAATTTGCTCACACATAATTATGAAAAATTAGAAAAATTAATGAACAAGAATTTCAGATTTTCTCAAAACAAATTGCAGAAATTTTAACCAAAGTTGAAATATAAACTATAGAATCCGCAGCACATTAAATAATTTAGTTCCTGAGCTAGATTCAGACTAATGTAATAATTTTTGAGCTGTTGAAAAAGCGGAAGTGCAAATAATTTTCTGTCGCACATACTTGCAAACACTAACTCGGATCGACCTTGAACCCGCTGTAATGCTAATTCCTAAACGGTAATTCACTCATGATTTCTTTTTCACTAGGCATTCGAACTTCTCAATTTATCGAGATATTACTTTCAATCTGTAAACACTACGCGTGATTATTTATTTGAAGCACTTGCAAAACACCACAGCAGAAGAATGATCTGTTATTTTTTAAACACTGAAAAAACAAATTTGATGATTCACTTCTTTCACATTATCTTGGATTTATCACAAAACGATGATTTGAAGAGCTCAATTAAATTTTCCATTGAGGTTTCAGGCTAGCAGGATAATCTAATCCTGTACTGACTTTAATTGTCAATACATAAGATGCACAAAGAAAAAGACCAGAGCAGTGTCGATGCTGTGCTTAGATTCCATATTGAAAGAAGAATTTTGATTGCGAAGTATGCTAATAATGTTAGCTTGGTAGTATCTAAAGAACTTGGCAGTCGAGGCGAGTTTTAATTCTATTTTTTTATTTGCCAATTGATATTTGTGGCCACAATCACTTGGCACTCTAGTCGTGCCTTTCCACAGAAGATTTACGTTTTTGATATTGTTGGGATAGCAAGCAAGCCAGCGAAATTACATGTTAGCAGAGTAAAGAGCAAAGCTGAAGTGCGTAGTTATGAAAGATGGAAGCACGCGAAGAGAAAAGTTTTGGTTTACAAGGTCAGTTTCAGTTCTTAATTATTATGTCATCGGAGTTGCGCCGATCATAGAGTGATCTAGAAATGACGCAATGCAAAGAAGTTATTACGATTTTAGAATAAAGAGGAAGAATTAATGTTTTATAGTTTAATCTATAATTTTGATTCATATATTTTTATCTTACACACACACACACATATATATATATATATATATATAACTAAAAAAAAATCTGAAATGTTTCAGATTTTAAATTACGTCCAAAGGGGCGTTTTTTAACATTTTGTGTGTTACCTTTCTTTATTAAATATCATGTTCCTCGCACTTAAACCATAAGATCCAGTGCAACAGCAATATCGCAAAATAGTTTTAAAACGAGCATATCTTTAGAATTTCCGATACAGAGACTCACGCGCTGGAGATAAAAATGTTTTTTTCTGCACAACGTTGCCATTGCTCGCTTTGAAATCCTTGAGTTTGTTAATCAAAAATTCGTCAAAGTTTTAAAAAATAGGAAATCGATCATAAAACAAATTTCAAATTTCAAATTTGGTCTTCCACATGCTCATATTCGTTGGAGGATTACGTTATTCAAAATTCGATGACTCTATGTACCGTTGTTTTATCACAATACGAGAAATATACATACATTTATGCAGATTTTCATTATTTAATTTCTTCAAATATAATGCAGGACTCTAACATTTTGTGGCAACAGTTTGAAAAGTATACCGACATTTATGAGTCCGACGCAAAATGACAAAACGAAACTAATAGTCCTTCGGGATTCAAATCCCTTTGGACTAAAAATATTTTTTCAAGCATTAAATTTTTTTCTACCTTTAAATTAATTTAATTTAATTTAATTTAATTCAATTAAAATGTTTTTTCGAACTTTCTTTCAAAATTTTGAAACATTTACATCAATTTGCACACATTACATCATTTTTCACGCATTCCTTATATTTTTGCAATCCTCAAGCAGTTAGTAATATTTTTTTTCACACAGAACAAGCATTTTACATTTTGAACTACTTTAGAGTTTACAGCAAGGTTTTTACAATCGATCAGCTTAACATTCAACTTTATATAGTATTAGCTATTTATACAGTTAGCAGAAACAAACTGCTCAACTTCACTTTGTTTAGCAAATGCTACTCCACTCTCTGGCGTACAAAGTATTTAGTTACAAGGTAAGTTAAACTAAAACTTACTATTTACTGCCTTTTTAGTATTATTTTTTATTTTTATTGATTGTATTTAGTTTATTTTGGTTTACATGCATAATTCGTGTCGGAGAAGTTCCAGAATAAGAAAAGGGTTTCTAAATTACTTTGGGTTTATACACTTAATTACATTAGCAATGCACTTTTCATTAAAAAGTTTGTTTTTTAGTCGATTTGCTTACTAAATTTCTCAAAATTCTTTTTTTGTTAAATTTTTTATTTAAATAATTCTCTACTTTTGGTTTTTGAATAATTTACCCACGCCTATATGGATGACAAAACTCGAATTGAATAATTGGAGAGTTAGGTTTGCAGGCAACTTCCTCTTGAAAAGATCTGTCTCTTACCTGTTCAACAATTATTCGTTTTATGCAATTAATTTAGTCTTAAAATTTTTCTTAAATATTTTTAGGATTAATTTTTGAATTATTAAATATTTCATCATGTTTTTAGATACTTGCATTTAATTTACATATGCTTTCTAAATTTAAATGATATTGCAAATTAATTCGCAGCAATAATTAATCTTTTATTTGTACACAATGGAAATTTCATAGTTTAAAATTTAAATTAGCTTTATATAATAAAGAATATTGTTAAATTCAAATTTGATTCCTTGAAGCAATGGCGCAAGCCAATTCTTTAATTATTTATTTAAATTTATTTAACTTTACTATTAGTTTCTTATGTATATATATATATATAACAGTACCTTTTTTTTTTTCATTTTAAAACAAAATTATCCCAATATTTTACTCGGTTTGAATTTCATTTCTTTGTCTTTGTGAATTTGGTTCTAAATTTCTTATACTGTATATCAGCATATTTTCTACCACATTAAATATTATACGTGAACAAAGTTCCGAAACGAGGGAAAAAATAGAAAAAGAAGAAAGATGAAATATGAAATTATTGCCAAATGTTTATTTTTCCTAGCAGATCCTTATATCTGAAGCTGTGTAATAGTTCATAGTTAAAATATATGTTAATGTGATTTTTTTTTTTTTCAGGTTCTCTGCCTACCTCTCTAAAAACTTGAATCAACATGTGTTCAAGACTTCTCGAGGTACAAATGTTTTATTTATTTATTTACTTGTCTCCTTTTCGATCATAACGCGTTTCACAAAGTAGAAGCAAAGTGGTATAGGTCTGCTTTTAAATACGTCCAACTTGGTATGCATCGTGTTTGGATGAGGAAATTTTTGTTTCCTATAAAATATTTGTTTCAGAATACTACTCGAGTTCAGTCAGTCACAACTGCGCGCGCTACAGTTATTTACCGCTTGCGAGACAATGCTATGACTGTACGCGTTTTGCTATTATTCAGTAAATAATCCGCGCTATAACTCTGAATTTTCAAGAGGTTTTGTATTTTTCTCTTAAATGTTTTGTAAATTTATTAACAAAGAATTTTAGGAAGGTTAATGAGTTAATTAAGTCAAGCAATGGAGAAAATTGTTAGGATTAACATGGAGGTGAAAAAAGGGATTGTTAAAAAGTATGAAGTTGGCATGCGTATCCGAGACTTGACTATTGCATATGGTATGCCCAGTACGATGTTGTCAACGGTTGTAAAAAGCAAAGACGCTATTAAATCGACTAACGTTGCGATGGGGGTGAAATCGATAACAAAACAACCGTCAGCGACATTAGAGCATGTTGAAAAATTGTTTTGGATCTAGACAGCAGAAAAACATTTATGTACAGTAAAATGTGCAGTGCTTCGTTTATCATTTTTTATCATTTTTCATTATTTACGCTCACTCATATTTAGCTCATTACATTTCTATATTAGTATTAAACAGTATTATAATAAAAACATTAGGTTGTTTTTGTTAGTAGGCTAAACAGTAGTTTAATTATCATTATATTTTCCCCTTTATTTCTAATTGGAAACTTTCGTTTCGTATGCGTCCAAGGAAAAGACATGAGTCGTTAGCCATCGCGTTAGGTTCCAATAGAAATGTTTGTAAACTTTAGCTCTCTTTATCATTCGATATTTTGCCTTTCGTTATTTCCTTTTATTTTTTTCCTAATTTATTAATTTATTTAATTTGTATATATGCATTTTGTTCAAATATTTTTGTGTCTGCATTTTGGATTTTATGAAGAGTGAATTAGCTTAAGCAGCTAGCTTAACGAAAAAAGAATATTTTAACAACTGGACAAAAACCATATACAGTTGCTATGCCAGAGAAGAGATATTCAATTTACAAATTGACCATTCTTACTCAAAACGCTTAAAAGCAAAAGAAAGGAAAATTCACGAAATTTGTAAGAAGCTGTAGCACCGGAACTGCGATAAACACAATGCTGTTAATTAAAAGCTTTTCATGTGAAAGACTCGATGATTATTTTATTAAATGGATCAATCAAAAACGAACGGAAAATTTGCCTATCTTCGTGCCCAATGTGCATCGAAAAAGCATTATGTTCCCACAGTTCTTTAGGCACGGAGGGCTCATTTACTGGTTCTTCAGGCTGGTTTATACACTTTAAGAAATATTATGGCATTCGAAAAGAGTGTATTAAAAATTAAGTGCGATATACTCAGCTGCAGAATCTTACGAAATCTGGTGATTACATTAAAAAAAAAATCTTTTGGAAATGCATCCGGACTAATATTAACAATGTAATAGGACAAAGAAACTTCAGCTTCTGAACTATGTATACACTGAGTAACAATGATGTGGTATGCAAAGGCTTCTGGGATTTGACATTAAAGCTTCTCGTTATAGAAAAATTTTGAAAATAAAATACCTTTTCATTCTTCATTTCATTGATTCTGAATTGTCTGCTTGGATGGATATAGAAATTTTTGCAAAATTATTCCATAAGTTATTTGTACATAAGTGAAAGAGCCACTGTGCAAAACTTGTCTACCAAAGAAAACTGTTCTGACAATGTGCTCTACCATTCCAGTGACCTATCTTCTAGTCATGGAGAGACTCTTATACATGATTTTCCTCAGATTTCATTGATCCAGTCAATGGATAAAGGTGTCATATCAGCAATGAAACGCGTTTATAAGAAAATTCTTTTACAGATTGTACCTAAGGAAAATGAAGAACTTTGCAAGAAATTCAAAACTTTAAATGCGGTAAACCTGATTGCTAAGTTGTAGAATAAAGTTAAGACCGCAACTAAATTCAGATTGATCCTTGATATCATCAAGAGGAAAAGCTTGAGCAGGAGAAGTGGCTGTAGCAGCAGACTTAGTTGGAATTGTTTTTAGTACTCTGATTTTGAAAATGTAAATAAAGAAAACATGGGAGGATTGTTATTGGAAATTGAGAAAAATGATTAAGGCTACAAAGTGTGTTCATATCAAGTTAGTGCAGTAAAAAATGATTCAGCGAATGAAATGACTCAGTAAACCAGTTATTTTTGAAATCATGTAAGTCAGAAAGATTTATTTTAAGCAAATTACTGTTTTAGGATAGAAGGGGTAAATAACCAATTAAAAAGGAGACTTAAAGGTTATTTTAAACTAAAGGGTGCATTTTTTCTTACATGTTTTTGCATATTTATGTATGTATATGTGTGAGATAAAAATAGGTGTTGTTACGAATTTTGTCCACATATAAATAAATTTAGCGAAATTAGATGCTTTTTTTTTTCTTGTATAATGTAACATGAATATTTAAAGAAGTTAATCTTGTAGGAAAAATAAGAATAACAGGGGCAAATCTATTTATCATTGATTAAATGGCTTTTTCGCCAAATTGGCGATGACTAACTTTTGTCACTAAATTTAGCGAGAAATCGTCAAAATCGCCAAACGTGGCGATATTTTGGTCCTGTCCCTGTAGAATAGTAATGGGTATTGTAATTAAATAACTGTAATTGATGCTATATGTAGCTGTAACCGTATCCAGCTGTCGTGTGCTTTCCAGTAATTTCGAAAAGTATTAGAGATTTCTGAGCAGCCAGAGAAAACTGTATAAGACTGTAGAGAGCATTAACTTCTGAGTAGTAGTAGTTACGTTTTTAGTGTGAATTCCGAGTATTGCGTGTTAGTTTCGCTTGTTAGATGCTTTTTGCATTGCGCTGTATTTAACGAATTTGAACTGTCACTACTCACTGTACTGTGTGATACCGTAAAGAGCTATACGAATATTTCTGTGGAAAGTTCCAGAACTGTGAAGTGCTGTTTTTGGTAACATAAATTTTATCAAGCTATCATCAGTTCTTTGTGCATTCAATTTGTAACAAACCCGTACGCATGCAGCAGTACGTTAATTTGTAATACTCTATTTCTTTTGAATTTCTCTATTTTTTACCTCTCTATTATAAGGTATTTCTCCCGCCTTCTTGGCTTTCCTTCGTGGTGTAGTGGTCTGCGCGTTGGGCGCGTATGCCAGAGGTCCGCGGCTCGATTCCAGACGAAGGCGTTGCTAATTTTTCAACTCACTTGTTTAAAAAATAACCTAATGTCTCTACCGTGGCGCCCGAACTAAAAGGGTTTTAGATGATGATTCTCCACACCCAGGATTTGGCAATTAGGTCCCCTAAAACCCCAGTCGCCCTTTAAAAAGGGGAGTATTTCTCCCGCTTTCCTGGCATGCCTTCGTGGTGGGGTGATCTGCACGCTGGGCGCGTATTCCAGAGGTCCGTGGTTCGATTCCCGGCGAAGGCGTTGCATATTTTTCATCTATGCGGCTTTTCCAATTAACCTAATGTCTCTACACTATTTTAAAAAACAGCAACCGTTTATAATAAATTATTCCTTGTCATTTCAAAATTGTTTCTTGTCATGATATTTACTTATCACATCAGCCAATAATAATTTCAAATTTGTGAACTGAAACTTAAAATTAACCAACTGGACTAAAATTAAATCCTTCTGAACCGGGTTTTGTGATTTTGGATGCCAGGCATTTTGTCTCTTGCTTCTCTCTTGCCCTCGTTTTACGCTTGCTACTATTTCTGCCATCGAAATTAATTGTTACAAAGATGTAGAAAAGGCACAAATGTGATCAAGATCGAACGCACGGATTGCACACATTGCCTTGTATATCATGTTATGAATGCGTTTCTCAATGAAAAAAAGGGTTAAATTCTCTGCGATTGCTAGCATTATTTATACACCAAACTCCGTTCCTCCATAAATCATGTTTTTCTGTTGCATCACTAACTTCTGAATTATCTTTAAAATTCATTTAGAGAAGGATAACATAGCCTAGCCGGAAACCCTTGCTTCACCGAAGAGTTCGTCTACAGGGGTAGTCAACCTTTTTATACATACCGCCCAATTTGTTGTTAGTAAAATTTCCTTACCATCCACTGGTTTCTCTATAACTTAGTTTAGCGTCAAAGTCAGTTTTTGCCTTGGAGCTAAGTAAAAATATATATAGCTAAATTTATCCATCTATTTATACTTTTTGCTGGCCCACCAGCGGCCGAGCGGTAAAGTCGCTGAACACTGGTAGTTCGGTCCGAGGTTCGAATCCCGCGACGGGCTGGCTGCATGTGCGTTTCGTGGTTTTCCCCATGTGTAACGTGTATACGAGCCAGTTTCCCTTAGAAAGGCATCCCTCCCCTTAGGCAGATAGCCCTCGTGTGCTTTGCCATAATTAAATAAACCAAACCAAAACCAAATACTTTTTGCTATAATAAGTATACTATAATATATAAGTATACTAACTTTGCTATAAGTATATTTATTAATACTTTGCTTTAATTTATGAGACAGGAAATTTATATCCCGCGTAGGTAGCCGGGGACATTTCCAGCGAAACTGTTTTGGCTAGGAAACCTTCAATGATAAGAAAAGTTCTCGGAAAACTATTCTTCTAACCTGACGCTTTGCTAAGATATTTATACGAAATGCTCAGGCGCAGTAAGATAGTTTCCTCGCAAAGCAGGTTTATGGTTGCCAGAAAACGGCAAGGGAAGATAGGGTTGCCACATTTGATGAGAAATTGCCGAACTGGCGACATTTGCCGATACGCTATAGATCAGCGGTTGGTACCACTGGTGGTGCACAAGAGAAAAATAGGTGGTATGCAAACTGCTGGTACGCGGAGTGCGGAGTCCATCGAGTTGATAGTCAGTCAGAGAGTC